TTCATCTTGTACAACTGCCAAAGAAATATGGGATAAACTACAAGTCACTCATGAAGGCACCGACGAGGTAAAAAATCTAAAATTAGTCTTCTAACACATAGCTATGAAAATTTCAGGATGAAACCAAATGAAGATATCGAAGCTATGACAGATAGATTCTCAACGATTGTTAATGGTCTCAAATCATACGGAGAGATCATTCCAAACGAAAAGCTTGTGAGGAAGTTAGTTTACTCACTTCCAAAATCATGACAATCCAAGAAGACTGCAATCATCGAGGCTAAGAACCTAAAGTCCTTAAAATCTTGAAGAGCTAATCGGTTCCCTCCTCACTCATGAAATGATGCTTGAAGATGAGGTGGACCTCGATAAGATTGAAGAGACACCAAATGAGAATGAGAAGAAGAAAAAAATTGGAGTTGCTCTCAAATCCACAAAAGAAGAGAGTGATTCGGATGAAGATGACGATGACGAGGAAATGACATTGTTTGCCAAACGGTTCAGAAAAATGATGAGACCTTACCGAGGAAGAAAATTCAAACGAAATGAAGGTCTCAAAAATGAACCAAAAGAGAAGGACCCGATCATTTGCTATGAATGCAAAAAACCGGGGCATGTCAAATATGATTTCCCACAATTGAAGAGAAAGGGTGAATCAAAGAATAAGCACAAGGCTCATGTGGCTACATGGAGCGATGAAGAAGGTTCTGATGAAGAGGAACAAGAAGTAGCAAACTTGTGCTTGATGGTATTCGGGGAAGATTCTAAGGTAATCTCTAACTGATTTGAATTTGATGATTTATCTTATGATGAGCTATTAGAGGAATATAATGGGTTGGCTTCAGATTATGAGAAATTGTTTTTAAAATATAAAAATGATGTTTCAAAATTGAAAAATGAAAATAAACTCATATCCAAAACCAACAACGATCTTGAAAGTAAAATCAAAGATTTGCAAATCAAACTAGAAGAGTTTAAAAAGAAAAATTCGAATTTGCAAAATTTACTTTCAAAGGTCAATGATGATCATCAAAAGAAAATTGATGATCTTAAAGCTTCTTTTGATAAAGTTGGGACAAAACGTTTTGAAAAAATAGAAAATTCAAAATCCAACTTTGTTAGAAAAAGTTTTAAAAACTACAATCATAGAGGTCACCGAAGAACCTCTAATGGAAAAATCGTTATAAGTATATGGGTTCCTAAAGGACTCATTACTACTAAAGATAAAGATATCCTACACAAATAGATACCTAAGGGGACTAGGATTTTGGAAACTAATGAATATGGACCCAAAAGAATTTGGGTACCAAAAATTAGAAATTAATCTATGATTGTAGGAAAAGGAGCATTGCTACAAGGCACGAGAAACAAATTCAAATTCATGGTACCTTGATAGTGGATGCTTGAGACACATGACCGGGGGACAAAAACCGGTTCATTGAGCTTAACACCAAAAATAGAGGAGAAGTGACTTTTGGTGATAACTCAAATCACATTGAAGGTATAGGCACTATAGGTAATACTTCTTCCATACAAATTAAGAATGTTTTATATGTGAATGGATTAAAGCATAATCTTTTGCGTATTAGTCAATTATGTGATAAATGATTCAATGTCATGTTTGAAACCAATGGTTGTAAAGTTATTGACATTGCATCTAATCGAATTATGCTTGTTGGTCATAGAATAGGAAAACATATACATGGTGCATTTAGACTCTATTGATATGACTAATTTATGCCTAGTTGCTAAGGATGAGCATGATAGTTGGTTATGGCATAGGAGACTAGGACATGCTAGTATAAGTGTTTTGCAACGGTTAATTCAAGGAGACTTAGTAAGAGGGCTTCCTAAACTGAAATTTGATAATGATAAAATCTGTGATGCTTGTGCTAAAGGAAAACAAAAGCGAGTTTCTTTTAAATCCATTAATGATGTATCAACTAGTAGAGTATTACAATTGATCCATATAGATCTTTTGGGCCAACTATGACTACTAGTTTGGGTGGAAAACAATATGCATTTGTCTTGGTAGATGACTATTCTAGATATACTTGGGTTCTATTCTTAAGTACTAAAGATGAAGCATTAGAAAAATTCATCACGTTTTCAAAAGTAATCCAAAACGAAAAAGGTTACTCTATAACTAGTGTTAGGAGTGATCATGGAACTGAATTTGAAAATCTTAGATTTACTGAGTTTTGTAATTCTAATGGTATTAGCCATAATTTTTAATCACCTAGAACCCCTCAACAAAATGGAGTTGTTGAGAGGAAAAATCGAACTTTAGAAGAAATGGTTAGAACCATGCTTTGTGAAAACAATTTGCCAAAATACTTTTGGGCAGAAACTACAAATACCGCTTGTTATTTTATAAACCGAGTAATGATTAGGCCTATTTTTAAGAAAACTCCATATGAACTTTTCAAAAATAAAAAGCCTAACATTAGTTATTTTCATCCTTTTGGATGTAAGTGTTTTGTTTTAAACAACAATAAAGACATTCTTGGAAAATTTGATGCTAAAAGTGATGAAGGAATTTTTCTGGGTTATTCCTTAAATTCTAAAGCTTATCGAGTATTTAATAAAAGAACTTTAGTTGTAGAAGAGTCTATACATGTTGTTTTCGATGATAACCTCCTTCTGAGGAAGGATTCTTGTGTGAATGATGATGCAGGTGTTATAAATACAAATAACGTTAGACATGACATTGGAGAACCATCATCAAAGGAAGAAACGAAAAATGAGGAAACTCATGATCCTCTCGAGAATCCAACCATTGAAGAAAGGGAAGTCTCTTACCCAAGGGAATACAACTATGTCAAGGATGGTGAGATTATAGGTGATCCATCCAAAGGGGTAACAACTCGATCTTCTCTTAGAAATATTTGTAATTATGTTGCATTTATCTCATGCATAGAGCCTAAGAATATTAAAGAAGCATTAAATTATGAACATTGTATTATGGCTATGCAAGAAGAGTTAAATCAATTTGAGATAAGTAAAGTTTGGACACTAGTTGAAAGGCCTACTAATAAATCTACTGTAGGTACTAGATGAGTATTTAGGAATAAGCTTGATGAGAGTGGTAATATAGTGAGAAACAAGGCTAGACTTGTTGATCAAGGGTATACTCAAGAAGAGGGCATAGACTATGATGAAACATACACTCCCGTAGCTAGGATAAAAGCAATTAGAATGTTATTGGAATTTGCATGTTTTCATGAATTTAAATTATATCAAATTAATGTTAAAAGTGCATTTTTAAATGGTTTTATTAAAGAAGAAGTGTATGTGGAACAACCTCCAGGTTTTGAAGATTCAAAATTTCTGGATCATGTTTTTAAATTGACAAAAACACTTTATAGTTTAAAACAAGCTCCTAGAGCTTGGTATGAAAGATTGTCAAACTTTTTAATTGAAAAAGGTTTTTCAAAAGGGAAGGTTGACAGTACATTGTTTTTAAAGCATAAAGGTAAAGATTTATTAGTAGTTCAAATTTATGTTGATGATATAATATTTGGTTCTACTAATGATATTCTTTGCCAAGAATTTTCTAAGCTAATGCAAAGTGAATTCGAGATGAGCATGATGGGGGAGCTCTCATTTTTCTTGGGACTCCAAATCAAGCAAAGAAAAGATAGCATCTTCATCAATCAAGCTTAATACGCCAAAGATATACTCAAAAAGTTTGGACTGGAAAATGGGAAACCTCATGACACTCCAATGAGCTCTTCTACAAAGCTTGACTTGGATGAATGAGGTAAATGTGTGGATGTTAAATTATATAGGTCAATGATTGGTTCTTTGCTCTATCTAATTGCAAGTAGACTGAACATTATGTTTAGTGTTTTCTTATGTGCTAGATTTCAATCATGTCCTAAGGAATCACATTTACTAGCTGTTAAGAGAATCTTTAGATACATTAAGGACACTCCTAGTTTAGGACTTTGGTATCCTAGAGACTCTAGCTTTAGCTTGCATGCCTTTTCTTATGCGGATTATGGAGGATGCAAATTAGATAGGAAAAGCACCTTCGGTACTTGCCAATTCCTTGGAAATATGCTGATTTCTTAGTTTTCAAAGAAACAAAATTGTGTTGCATTATCTACCACTGAAGCCGAATACATTTCAGCTGGTAGTTGTTGTGCACAAGTTTTATGGATGAAACAACAACTTTTTGATTATGGAATTGAAGTAGGTACCATTCCTATCAAGTGTGACAATACTAGTGCTATTTGTCTCACTAAAAATCTCATCCAACACTCTAGAACTAAGCACATTGAAATAAGACATCACTTCATTAGAGACCACGTCACTAAGGAAGATGTAGTTCTAGAATTTGTTGATACTTTGCTCCGTCTTTAATCTGAAATAGGTCTGACCTTGGCTTTGCAAATTTCCCTGCCATCCTACCTACCTGCATAGGATACATAAATAATAGAACTCACTCACACGTAACACCTTCCACTTCGGAGACTCTTCCAAAACTTCTTAAAGAACCAGTCCATTATTTGTACTTGTTGATGAAGTACCAACAATTGATGCATGTACAATTTAGTAAGAAGGGGTTTAGGGAATCAAAAAGCTTCTAAATGCACCTTTTGTTTTGGTATAACATGGTTTTAATTTTGAAACAAAAACCACGTTAATAAAAACAGAAGAATGAATTCAACTGACCTGCATCAAGTAAGAAAGTGTCCAACAAAAAGAGAAAATTGAAAGATAAATCCTTCAAACGAATTGACAATGTACCTTACGCAACATCTTCTTTTGAAAAGGACTTTTCAGTTCCATATGAAGGCAGAGCATGTCATTGTTTGTTAGACTAGGGAAAAGAACTTTTACAATATATAGCTCATACAAACAGAAACCAACAGACCACATATCCATTGGATGATTATAAGGCAAACCAAGAACTGCACCAAAGATAAATATAAATATTATACATTAACCCAAAGACATAGTAATGAACAAATATCAGCCTACGGAAGAAAATATGCTTCACCCTGCCATATTTGTTGCATTCTTCTTCAACATCCACTTTAATATCCAAGTCAAAATCTGGTTCCTTATGGCAATAAAACATACATAAAATTAACTATCTTGTACAAGGAACAGAAAAGAACACACAAAGTAACAGTGAAATAACATGTTTAGAATAGGAAAATCAAAACCTCAGTTACAGGATCAAACATATTCTTCAAGAGCAAACACTCGTTGAGCTGTCTAATAGGATCAAGGGGTATAGTAGACTTGATTGGTGGTAGAACTGGTGTCGAATATGCACCCTGGCCATTGAAAGGTCTGTAACAGTCTATTTTTATCTTTTATCTTTAGTGGCAACTGCAAAATGAAAAAAGATACACGGGCTAAAAAACACCCACAACAATAATATAAGAATGACACGATGACCACAATGTTGATAATTCTTAATGCTTTCAAGTTGTGTACCTGAGCCTTGAGAGCTGCAGCAGTTTCTGTTCCAACATCAACAGTATCTTGAACAACCTAATATTAAAAAGGGTCAGGCAAAATTAGTCTTTCATTATCAATAGCCCATCAATCTGGATGTGTTAATGATGGGAGAAATTAATACAAAAATTTGGACATCCCAAGACTTCTTGCATTTTGTTAATTTTTAGTTCAATATAGAAAGAATATAGAAGGAAATTTCAATATCTAAGGATCTGAATATAAAACCAATTATTTCTCCCTGTAGAAAATGCACGAGGTGTCATATAATCATATTGCAAAAAAAGTTTTGATAACAACCTTATTAGCCCTATCAATGGCTTGAGCAGTCTCATCAATCATCTGGTTTCCTCTATCCTTTAGCTGTTGATTTGTCATAGCTGCAGAACATACAGGTTGTCTCAGAAGAAGTTCAAAATTGAAAAAAAATACGATACCTACAAATCATTTCCAATACATTCCAACAAAATCCCAAGAATCAATGCAAAGGTCTCAGAATTGGATCGGGCAGAACGGTAGACCAAAGCTTCATAGTAAGATCATTTCTGGAAATTCATGCTGCCATACTAACAGAATATATTAGCCACTAGATACAACTCTGATCAACGTTCGAATAGTTCTTCATAGCAAAGTTTAAACTGAGAATTACTAGCACATCTTACAGCCACTACCATTAGACAATCACTCTAAAATAAACGAGAAGCTGAGAATTGTTATGGCATAAGAATAGTAGAACAAAGCTTCATAGTAAGATCATTTCTAGAAATTCATGTTGCCATACTAACAGAATATATTAGCCACTAGATACAGCTCTGATCAACGTTTGAATAGTTCTTCATAGCAAAGTTCACACTGAGAATTACTGGCACATCTTACAGCCACTACCATTAGAAAATCACTCTAATATAAACGAGAAACTGAGAATTGTTATGGCATGCGAATATACTGTGATATTACCAGGCTGGTTCCTCAATATCGAGAATAAAGTGAAAAACAAGAAGCAAAGACCAAGATTGATCCCAACAGAAGTTAAAAGAGCTGAAAGAATCATCTTTACAAAGACAGCTTTGATATACCACCCTCTCTAAGATTATTAAACACAACAACTCAATTGCAGTCCTCGACTGCCCAAACCAAATTCCTTGATTCAAAATTTAGAAAATTGTGTAAAAAATCTCAAAACCCAACAACCCAAAAATCAAATCAAAATCCCTAAATAGTTTTCCAATTCTAGAATAGTAAATAAGAAAACAAACACACACCTTTGAAGCTTCGCGACCAATGTAAAGCATCATCTTGTTGTCGTATTACCAAAGAATAAAAAGACTTGGAAAAGTTGGGGAATGAAGAAATTTAACAAGGCAAAGGAGAAAAAATTCCACACTTTTGTTGTGAATCCTCTGATACTTGCGAATTTTTTTTGCGCCAGATATGAACTCCTGGAAATATTGAAGCTTCTACTTCTAATATCTCTTAGTTTACCTCCCTTCTTCGGACTATAAAAGTTGTTTTGAAAACCTTGGGTTCTCGAATCCTTTCTTGTCTCCATTGAAACTTGTTTGCTTCACAGCAGAGCTTTGACACTGAGAAGGCTTAGAACATTCATTTTTCACCGATGGCTTGAACGAAGCATATACGAAGAAGAGGAAAATGGTGTTCATATTTTGTATGGGATAGAGCAATATCCTACAACAGAGCTTTGGTAGCTAGCGCATGAAAATCAAAGAGGAAAAAGAGAGAAATTAAAACAAGAGATGAGTTTTCAAGTAGGAAAAGTAGAGAAACTAACATGGACGAAATCCCACACCGAGAGATAAAAACATTGTGAATGGTTTAAAATTAGGAAGCAAATTAACACCAGTGTGTCGTCTGGCCCATGCGTGCCGTCTGGCCTATGTCCCTTGTATGGGTTGGGCTTGGTCTTGACTCAACCTGCACAGGCTGGAAGAGACTAGGGGTGGTGGGCGGGTTTATATTTTGGGATTTAGGGTTACTTTCTTTTATCTACTGAAGCAAGGGTATTTTTTTTAGAATATATGTCTTATATTTTAATAAAAAATAAAATGTATTAGATTAAATATTTTTAGATAAAGATAAATTAAATCTAATATTATTTAGTTATAGCCTATAGGTTTGATAATAAATAAGTTATGCCTAAAAATATCATAACTAAATTATTTAATTAAAATATAATTGTAAATAAATTATCTTATTAATTGAATTATTTTTTTATCAAATAAGGAGATATTATTTTTAAAAAATAAAATATCAAGATTTAAACTCACACAAGGTAATTTATCAAAAAAGACTCACATAAGATAAAACAAAATGAACATTCTTATTGACTCGATCAATTAATTGAAAATTAATTTTATTTTATAATATAATATAAATATTTGGGATCTTAAATAATAAAAATAACTTTGAAATGTTATATAAATCTTGATTATTCTTAATTGAAATTTTATTTAAAAATATTTAAAATACAATCAAATAATTACATTTGTACCATACTATCAAAAGAGTGCACATATGAGAAAACTGAAACTCAGATCAAGCAACAGGTTCTTCCCTTATCCTAAATGACTAGGTGCTTTTGTCATTTTTCACTTTGTACAAGCTTCGGTTAGCTTTCTCAAATAAAACTCGGATCAAGCCAAACAAAAATAAAAAAAATTACAAATTTTTTTTGACAAAATATTTTTTATTCATATTAACTCATATAAGCTTACATACATTTTGCTTTCAAGTATCAAGCTCAATATAATAATATTTAGGATAACTCTACTGTTAAGTATATAAATTATTATTTTTGTTCCACTTTGATATTTAAATTTTATAAAACATTTAATTTAGATTTCATTTTGATAGTCGCCATAAAAGTTTGAAGGAAGGCTATATGTGACACTTTTATGGGTAAATTATATCATTCACCACTCAACTATCTTCTTCCTCCTATTTTAGTCATTAAAGTTTAAATTTTTTAATTTAACTACTCAACTTTCAAATTGCTCATATTTTAATCACTTTTAATTTATTTTATTAATATTTTTTTGACATGACATTTTTATTAGTATTTTATTAGTATATAATTAAAATTAAAATTTTGTGAAAGTTAAGTAATTAAATTTAAAAAATTAAACTACAGCGACCAAAATAAGAGTAAGAAGATAGTTAAGTGATGAATGATATAATTTTCCTATAAAAAGTGTCATGTACAATATTTTTTTTAGTATTTAACTGCGAGATATCAAAATAAAACAAAAAATAGACGTTAAGTATGTTTTCAAAAATTCAAAACTTTAGATACCAAAATAGAATAAAAATAATAATTTAAGTATTAAACATGTAGTTTACTCTAATATTTATAGTAAATTACTTACCTCATTTAAGCGTTTATTATAGAAAAAAGTTATAAACGGCTTACTTATTTAAGTGCAACAATATTACTTACTGATTAAAGTTTTTATTTTTCAAAATTAAAAGAATTGAATAATTCACTTTTATAATTGAAGGATTTTTTCTTAAATCTATACGGGTGACTTAATCTGATTTGAGGTGTCATATTAAAATCATCGAAGCTATCCATGTTAAAATTCTGAGAAAAATAAAAAATTCAAACAATTAAAAAGCATAAAATAAATTTTAAAATAAATATAATGTGAGTTCAGAATTATTTAAACATCGAAATAAATTTTTTAGTACACAATATAAAAAGTAAATTTTAAACTTTGACATAAATATAATATGAGACATCATGTTCCCTAATTACATTTGTACTATACTCCGCAAACAACGTTAAATGAACTCCGATTACTGATGTCAATAACTGCACAAGATCAATTCGTTTAAACTTGAAATAACAAGTAATATAATGAGCTTTGGGAAATCTTAATAATACATGACTATCAGATGATGCTAAAGGTCAAACAAATATATATAATAACACATAATTTTTTCTTAGTGACCTAAAAAGTAATAATTTATTCCAGTAAAATAAATTTTGAAAATCACATAATTTCCCTCCAACCGAACATTGATATATAGATCTCTAGAACTACATCCATAAGGACTTACTCTAAGTCCATTGGGCGTAAGAGCCAACCCAAAGAAATATCTTAGGCCTATAAGGACTTGCATTAGCCAAAACATAAGAGCCAACCTAAGAGAGTATCCTAGGCTCATAAGGCTTTATTAGTGTGACAGGAGTGTACCAGCAGAGACTTAATATCACATCTCAACGAGTATCTAATAAAACAATTTTAAATAATAACAATAAAATCAAGAAACCATAAATTAAAATATATTTTTATTTAAGTAAACATTAACTTGAGATCATGTATCATGCAAACATAGTTTTTATTTAGTAAATCAAAAGTTAGGAATCATGCTTTCAATCGGATAAAATTATTCAAAAGTCAAATAAAATAAAACATTCATATTTCAAATTAGATAGAGTAGTCATGTGCACATGCTAATTAATATAACACATGAAGAACACACTAGAGGGTTCACTTATTTTTTTTGAAAGTACTTGGTAACTATCAGGAAGAAAAATACATAATTTCTGTCAATTTTAAATTGATTCAAGAAACG